AAACTATGATTTGTTGGAATTTTTCAAAGGAAAGAAAAAAAATTGCTATTTTTTATAAATCCATGGTTTAGATAAACCTCGTAAACAAATCAATGGAAGAAATATATCAATCAATTGGTCTGTTAACGAACATTTCCCGACCATCGTTTCATATTCGTTGTTTAACATTGTCATTTGATTGACATCAGTTTTCTTTTCACTCTTGAAATGATTAAGAATTGGCAGAAGAATAGATGATTGGCGACAAAATTTTTCTGAAGAAAAGAAAAATTTTCCAAGGATCATTTTCATCTTGAAAACAAACATCATCACATACTGCAATAATGACGGAAAGTCATAGAGGATGAATCACTGCTGGAAAAGATTGTTTCGGAAATATCTGATTTGAAAAATCATCCAACGAAACGATTCTTCGTTAAGTTTGATCAATGACAAGTGTGATCGTTTTTGGATCAATCTTATAATTTTGATCATTCGAACTGAATACTTTTGTTATTAAACACTGACAGAATTGACAAAGATTTTTTTCGTCTTTTAAATGAATTTGCATCCATTCTGTAATTAAATCTTCAGATAATTTAGATAGAATTGGAAAGAAATAAGTGACAACAATTTTCCTCGATGGATGACCTAAGAGATGATTCAATCCGAGGAAATGAATAGAATTCGAAGGTATAGTTTGTGTAAACTGTCGAATGTATCAAAAAATAAAATCAATCCAAACGGAATCATATAATGATTCGTTGAAGAGAAAACTATCCCACAGAGCTGGTCGTAATTATCCAAAGAACATTCCCAACTAATCCATTCGAATGTTAACAGACGTATTTGACGAAATTGACAGTTGATTGTAAAGGAAAGAGTACGTTGTGCAATAACTTCAATCGATGATTCTCTGAGAAAAGATTGAACAACAAAATATTCTTCAAATCCTTTATGTAAAAAACCATAAACTTGTAAATCTCGTTCTGTGAAATTCCAGTATTTGATTTGAGCAAAGGAAGAAAATCTTTGACATAATTTCTCAACATCTGACGATTATCCGCTACTACGCATCGTTTGAACGTTAAATAACAAAAATATTCCATATAAAATGCATCAATTAATCCTGAAGTAGGTCGTAATTTCAGATAAGTTGCAAGATCAATGAAAACATTGAAGAGAATCTTGTCTGCGATAAAGAAATTTTGATTCTTCCATAGGAATCCAATATTGATTGAACGACACAATCACAGGGTTCAATTGGAGATTGGAAAAGATTTCGACAGATTACAGATAAAAGTAGAGGATTTGATAGGATCAATTGTGAATCGTCTGAACCTATTGAAGAGATCGTTTCAGACTTCTTTTGCCAAAACGATTCCATAGACGTTAGCAGACTTTGAGAGAATTCTTTTTGCAGAATCCGAAAGACATTTTTTCCGACTTCTGAAAACCAGTTTTGCATTGTCAGGATCGCCATCTATATCTCATATAGACGGACGATCCTTCGTGTGTGTTTTTCGTTGTTGTTGTTTGTTTTTCTTTTTTCTTTTCTCTCCATTCTCTCGTGTTGACCTCGTGTTGAAACAGACTCGACGAGGAGAGAGCGAGCAATAAACGAGAAAGGTGCCCGCTCATCGACTTCTAGACTTTCTTTTCGGTTTCTGGNAATCTTTTAAAGAGTAAAATATTATTTCAGTTTCTCATATAGTATTTTGAGCTTTTGACTTAATAGACGTTAATATTCTAGATGGAGCCTCAAACTGATGCGTTCTGATAGGTCGAGAGCACAGTTTCAGGTCGTTTTGATAAAGATGAGTAAAAATTGGATGATCAAATAAAGAATAAGCACATGGCAGAAATTTCTCTAAATCATCTATCAGAAATGAAATTAGTGCGTATTTTTTCAAAATAGACTAATAAAAACTTGAACAGGGTGAAAATTATATTCATTTTCAAACATTTTAAAACCAAAATGAAGGTAAAATATTTAGATTTATCAAAATTCAATAACAGTAATACCACGAATACAAAAAAAACGAGACTGAGCATAAGTTACAGCCAATTTTTTTAGAACGATCGCAAGAAAATCGGTTAATATCTGATTTTTACAGATTTATTTTTGCATGAGAAATAGCACTTCCAGATTTGAAACAACAAACTTTTACTGCTAATAAGATGATTCTCTATACAATCAAAATCTTTAAAAGTATTTGGCAAAAGGTCAAAATACGAAAATTAAATAACTTTTATTTGTCACTAACAACATCAATTTTTTTCCAATTTTATGTCGGCTGATAGAGCGCCACAGGAGCTATCACTATATGTATAGAAACTGTTGATATGCGCTAATTTGTTAAAAATGACAAAATTAGAAAGAGAAAGCCTTGAAAGGCGTATCGTACATTCTATGTGAATACCTCTGATAAAAAGAAAAACGCCACTGGAAATCACTTCTTGACATCTAAAGTTCTTCATCAAATTATATACAACATAATAAAAAAGTACGACGAACCTGGTCAATGTTGGCAATAAACCAAGATCTGATCATCCAAGAAAATTATACCGAGGACAACTGACTTGTCTGAAGCTTCTTGACAATCACAAGACAGGTATTTCTTTACGTGGATAAATATCAAAATTTCTAGTCAGTCATGAAACTATTCGTACTCATTTGACAGAAATGGACATTAGATACTACAGAAAAAAAACATAAGTCATCAAAATATACAGACAAACAATTAGAGGAGTTACAACTAGGACGCGTCGATTTTATCGGATTTTACACATCAAATAAAGGAAGAACTCCAACAAAAGTGAAGTTCAAATGGGCTAAAAATATCAACCAATGGAATCCCATCACCTTTTTTCGGTGAAAAACAACAAGCTACTAATGAAACAACTTGTCTAAATCAATGCATTATCGAGCGATTGATGCCATTCATTAACAATTTCATTCAAAGAACAAAGTTTTGACCTGATGTAGTGTCACTCGTTATTTGGACCAAAATAATGCTCAATTTGTGACAAGAGATTTTGAACTTCAGAAGCGTCCACAAGTTCGTCCTATCGAAACTTTATGATCTATACTGAACAATATGGTTTATGACCGAGGATGGAAAACCAAAAAATACCCCATCAGTTGAAACAAAGAATTATGCAAAAAACAAAAGAATTTGATGTAAGGGTCGTTCAATCAGTGTTTTCAGGTATAAAAAAAAAACAATTACGAAAAATCGCCGATCACGGATCGTATAGCGCGTGTTCTTCATAGGTTTCTGCAGTTCTGTCTTTGGTCTTTCATACGAAAAACTTCTTAGCAAATACCGACAATTGGTTGAAATAAAAACTGGCATACCTTTTTTGTACAAAGACTTTCTCGACATAAGTTATATATGTAATAACTAAAGTATATCCATATTATAGTCACTAAATTTTCTCCGAGGCCTAACAATATCTGAATCACACAGTGTTTTGTGTAACGTGTTTATTATACTTGATTTCATCGCTATCATTTTAGTTGATTCGGCTGATATTTTTATTGTTGTTGAAACTTTTACTAGAACAGTAAGCATAATGTTTAGTGCTATATATCGCTAGAATTCATGAGTTATAAAGATGTATGATGAGTGCAAGTGAATATACGATCAACATTTACACTTATATCTATTTTCAAGCACTTATGAACAGTAAAGTATTATTGACTGTGAGAATCTCACCGTTCAATTCTGATTAATAAATACATCTTGAAAGTGAAGCATGTTACTTTCTGAAGAGAATAGAATTTTTTATAGATTCTCCCAGGACGATCGTTCCTGGAAGCAGTATTCCGCTTATTTCCCGTGAAAACCCGCAGGATATTTATAGTATCCGCGCTGGAAACCACGAGAAAATACTCGGAATCCCACTGAAGGAACCGGTAACCGTATC